TGCGCGGAGAAAACGTCGCTCCCATCTCGCAAAGGCGGCGAAGCCTCTCCCGCGGACAGTGTATCCGAGGGGTCAGATGGCGAACTCTCTGAACCACCAGGACTAGAGGGAAAGGCTCCCAGGCTGGGCGTCAAAAGTGATAAAATATCACCTTGTTCCGCTCCTTCGGATCTGCGATGCGATCCTGATGCAGATTGGGAAGAAGACGCAGGCCAATCAATACCCCCCAACGAAGGCCGCCATGCCGAGATGAATGAAGAACAAGAAGACACGCGCCCTTGCGGCAACGGCGTCTTCGCGGCTCATGTGGAACACGCCCCAGAGTCGACGCTGCGCGAGCCCGCGGGACACGTGCCGCTGGTACTCATTTCGCTCACCGCGGACAATAATGAATTACCCAAGGTATTTGGCAACGGATATTTTTGACGCATTTTCGGCTGGCCGTTTCTCGGAACCCGCCGAAGAGCCAACAGAGATTGAATGCCTTACTTCGCGCCAAATTGTTGGAGAGAGGAGCGGCCTTTCACAAATAATTTCAACGTGCCGAGCGCGCCCCAGACAGAGACGATGTTGGTTCCCTCGTTGAGCGGCGAAGAATCCGTCATCCTGGTGGCGGATGCCAGCCTCGCGAGGAGAATGGAGGCAGCGCGCTCTGCTGACCCGTTCCCCGACAACCCGCAACGGGTGCTTTTCTTGGGCACAGGTGACGAGGCAGGGTTTTCAGGGGGCACAGTGCTGCATGTGCTCCGGGACCTAATTTCGAAACAAAGAGAGGGCGCAGACGCGCTCCTCCGATCGCGCCATGGCTCGATCGAGACTCAAGATCTCCCAGTGGGCACGCACGCGTTGTGGCCCGTTACTCCATCAGCAGACCACCGGTTGCAAGCGTACTCCAGCGGAACTAGCGAAGAAGAGGCGGCTAGGCTGGGGACCATAATCATGGAAAAGCGAAATATAGTGGTGCTGCTGATGTCCTCAACTCTAGGGGATGGGTCGAGACGACGCGGGTCGTCGAGGTGTTGTGGAATGAGGGTTTTGATCGCCCTGGGCCCCGGCTGACGCGCGCCCTCAGTGCTCTGCCTAAGAAGTCAATGCAAGTATTGGGTGCCAAGTTCGCGGAGAACGACGAGCCGGCGGTCGGGCGCCCGGATTATTGGAAGTAGAGTTACGGGCGGACATTCGAGCCGGCGGAGCATAATATGGGGCAAACTTCGGGCCTCCAGACGCGAAGCCCAATCCTTTCCGCGCTTCGCAGGGTCACTCATGAATGAGGGCGGTTCAGCCCGGGCGAATATACCCCCGCGATCAGCCAACGGGGAACGACCTGCCAACGGCGATGATGTTCCCTCTCACTGCACCGAGCGTCTTGCAATCAATGGTTGACAAGATGGCTCCTCCAGAGGCTGACATCAATGGGAGACGGCAGTATAGATATGCGTATGCGATCCCTGTCATGTCGAATGTCTATTCAAGACCGGACGACCTGGTCGTGGAGACGGCGGAGGACAACGCGCACGGTGGGTTCACCATGGTACAGCGAGAGAAGGATAAAACATGTTGACCAACCACGGCAGTTCCCGCGCTGGCTGCGTCCTAACGGATGGTCAATTTCGCGATTTGCTGACAATTTGGACGCGAGGGCGTTTGATGTGGACAACTCAGGGAAGCCGCCTTGCCAGTATTTGGCGACGGTCGTACCTCGCATCTTTGACAACGCGACAGTTTGGGTCATGCCCAATTGCTCCTTGGCGACTGGGCTCCGTCCGCGCGGGGTGAGATTCGCCAGATCCCGCGGATTGCCGTGTCAGATGCGCTCGTCCCGACGGCGTCGTGGACGGCCATGTTCGATCGGCGCTTCGGAGGAGCCTGGATCGCCCCATTGACGGACTCAGGATGCGTCGACTGCTTTAAAGCACAAAGGAGGCTTCGTCACGCATGGCGACCTACATGATCGGCTGGCTTCGAGCGACTTTAAGCATAAGATGATGTTGCCTCCGCCCTGGGAGGACGGCTACCTCGCATGCTCAAAGGCGTGTCGCAATCGCTTGGGTGTAATCAGCTGCCTGCGCTGCTCGCAGCCGATGCTGCATGAGCCAAGGCTCGGGGCCCCAATCGCGATTCGTCCTGCAGTTGCGTGAGGAACGCTCGGCCTTGGGATGTTCATGAGTATGGGCATAGGCCCTGGAACCGGGAACCGTGTTCCTGCGTCGACTGCGAGGCTTCCGACATACACAGCGGGTCGCACCACCGATAGAAACATAGCTAAGCCTGAACAAAGCTGGAAATATCCAAAGATGGCACAATACCGTCACATATTGGTTCTCCAAGGCAAGACAGCCTATGCGTTCCAGTGCATGACTTCGCTTGCGTGGCGGCCAATGTCGGTGGGGGATGCCGCGCCAGGTCCAAGCATGGCTTCAGAACAAGGCTCAAGTGCTGGGCCATCGCTTGGTTAGCTTTCAGAAGCTCATGGGGGCGCCGGCCGTCGGACCGGAGGCTGTTGTCTTCGTTGAAGTTTTGTGGCCGTACCTGAGCTGCCATCTTCAAGCTAACAGGCAGCACTTCGGATATTTGGAGCCCTTCCTGTGGGGCAACCTCAGGACGTTCGATGAAGAGGCGCGCGGCCCGTCGAACGCGGGGGGGGGGGGGGGGGGGCGACAGGGGGAAGGTGCCGCACATGACCGGATGTGGAGACGCGCCGAGGACTTCGGGGGCCATTTGAGCCAGTGGATCAAGGCGATGATGTAGAGGAGGAAGAAGGATGTGATCACGCTGCTTAGCCAGCCGAAGGCGCTGCATCCTCCACTCATGGAGATAGACGTCGCGGGCAAACTCCTCCGCCGAGGCAGGGGCGCAAGCGCGCGATGGCGAGGGCCGAGGCACGCGGTGGCGAGGCATCTCGCGCTCAGAAGCGCAGCAGCAGTTGCGGCCCGCCCGGTCAGGCCCCCACCGTGCGCCTTCGGGCGTAGGGGCCTACAAATTGGCAGCTGGAACGAAGCGCGCCGTTGCGGGCCGCCCGGAAGCGTGGCCCTCGCGCGATTAACAGATCTCCCGCGAATCACTGGCGCGCATCGCCTGGCGCGCCCCCATGGCAGAGGGTCGAGCCGCGGCCGATCAGCAGGAATTGGGATCAGATTGGCGAACCCGCTTCGCGGCTGACGCCTGCGCCGAGTCGCCGATTTCGCCGGCGGCCGCGGCGGCCGCGAAAGAGTCAGCTGCGCCGTGGCATCGTGATTGTAGCCAGTGGTGGCAGGACGAAGCGGCGTCTTGGCGTTGGCGGCCCCATGGCGCGCCGATGCGGCTGATCGCTGGACGCCCTGGTCGCCCTCTTCGGTCGCGACGACCGCTGCGGCGATCAGCGGTGAAAGAGCGACCGCTCAGGCGGTGGGCGCGGGCGAAAGGCCGAGGCGATGTCTCGGCCTGACCCAGTCCCCGCGGAGCGTAGATACGAACCCCAGGCGCGCCGAGGTCATTGACGAGCTCGTCGCATTATGAGTTGATGGCTGGGCGGCGCGCTCCTCTAATATTATTCTGAACGGGCGCGTCGGGAGGCCCTCGACTTGCCCCGCTGAGCGGTGACTGGAGGCCCCCCTTCCCCGCCGCCCGCCCCGTAACAGTATTTTGGGACTGGCGCGGCGGGGGCCCGAAGTGACCCTTGGAGAAAGGGTGAAGGCTGTCCGACGCTTTCGGGACGTACTGAAGGCTGTTCGGCATGTCCCGCTTTTTCTGCTTGGGATGTCAGCCAATGCGCTGACGCCCACCCTGGCGCGACGATGTCGAGCTAGGTGCCCGCGGGGGGAGTCGTTGCTAACACTCCCTTCGCCTATTTCTGCAGGCTTCCATTTTTTCCCCTTGCAGAGCGTTGGTGGGGCATGGATCATGTGGGGGGGGGGCTGTTTTCGCAGCTGCGATAGCCACACAAGCAGAAGCGCGCGCGCAAGCCGGCAGGGCGGGCCTGCCAGCCATGCGCGTGCGCACGGATACATCATATTTTGCGTAGAGTAGTTCCGTTTGCCAGACTTACTTAGCCATGTGCTCACCAGTTCATAGTGGGAGGTTAGCTTCCTGTGAGCTACTCGAGGAAGAAGATCAACAATCATAACAACCCATCAGTACCAATACACGTTTGCCTAAGATGACGATAGATAGGCAAAACATTCCCCACTTGGGGGTCTTCTTGGGGCCCTCTTGGGTCTTCTTGGGGCCTTCTTGGGCCGCATTGGGGTCATCTTGGGCGTCGCGGAGCGTTCCTGGGCCGCCCTGGGACTTTGTTGGACCGTCCCGAGGCGTTTGGGGGACCTTCTTGGCCAGCGCTGGCGCTCTCTAGCCTCCTTGGGGAAGGCGTGCGGCCAGCCCCAACAGTTACGCGACACCCCCCCCACAATTTGGCAATGTGGGGTCTGGGCCCCTCTCCAGGGCAACCACAACACTCAACGCAGAGAACTCGGAGGAAACGGGCGACACTCCACCCAGTGTGCAGCGGCACGGCGGCAGATAGTGGTACGAAGTGTGGACGATGTTTCATGTTGACGAGAACCCCATTTTGACAATGAGCCGCCTTCCATCCGTGTAATTTGAAACGAGTGCGCGCGGCGCCGATGACAAAACCCCATTTAAAACATCGCCCGCCCTCCATTCGTATACTTGTTGACGATGTTTAACACGAGTGTGTGCGGCGCCGAGAGCCCCATTGTGAAAACGATTTGCCCTGCCTCCGTGTAACTGTCCGAAGGAGGGCGCAGGCCAGAGGGGTAGAAAAGAGACGGATGAGGAGAAACGAGGGATCATAAGGAGGATGAACGAGGACGGAGCAAAGGGACGAACGAGGAGAGATGAGGGAAGGAGGAGGAGGAGGAGGAGGAGGAGGAGGAGGAGGAGGAAAACGAGGAGGAGGCGGAAGAGGAGGACGAGGAGGCCAGGACGAGGAGCATGAGGCAGGCAGGAGGAGGAGGCAAGAAAAGCAGCAGCTGCAGCAGCCTGGATCGGGCAGTGGCTCCAAGGAGAGGACCTTCAGGCACGACTACCACTCCGAGAATTACGGGCTCCCGTGGCTGCCACCGGAAGTCCTGGAGAAGATCAAGTCCAGTGCTGAGGAGCAGGTCAAGAGAGAACAAACAAAACCAGTGTAGAAGCAAGGTGCGTCCCCCGCGCTCTTCCCCACCTCCACGCTCCCCCTGCTCCTCCCCTCCTGGGATTCGGCGGGGGCCTGGGCTTCAGGGATGTCTTTCTGGGAGTCTGCCGGCGTGCCACTCGGCTGCGAGACCCTGACTTTCTCTTTCCCAGTCTCCTTCGCCGACAGAGTTCCAATAGTTCCCCTCTCGCCCCCTCCAGCGCTGGCGGTTTGGATTTGGCCTCCAGGCGCCGTCGCGGCCTGGACGCTTCCGAGCCCCCTCAGGCCGTGGCGCCATGCCGAAAGGGAGCTGCGACGAAAGCTCTCGCATGCCGGCTCGATGGGAGTGCCATCCATCCGTCCTCCCTCTCGTTCTCCCCAACCCTCCCTCCCGCCCCCTCCCCTGTTCGTCCCAGCGCGGAGCGCAGTGGTTGATGTTTCAGCTGCTCCGTTTTGCAGGAGGCCCCCAAAAGACCTCAGGCGAGGGGGGCCTCGATTTTGACCAAAGCCGACCTCCATCGCCCAGGGACGGCCTGGGGTGAGTGAGGCTTCAATCGTCGTCGCGGTGCGTGCCTCGCAACTGCGGAGATCAGGCCTGCAACATCCTGCAACATCCCCTGTTCGTCCCCCTTCCTGCCCTTTCCTCCTCCATTCCCTGTCTTGTCCCCGGGCAACACTCCTTCACGCACGAGCTTAACTATGATGCTAGCGAGCGGGAGCCTCAAACATGAGGTAGTGCTATGTGTGCGTGGTGCAAGCTATGTGGCGCATCATATGTGGTGCAAGAGTTGCGATGTTATGTACTTATACGTGTATACAAATATAGAGAGAGAGGTGTATATATGTTTATGCGGGGCACTGTTTGTATGCAATACATATGGTGCCATCTGTGAGATCCAACATATGTGTTACAGTATGTTTGTGGTGCCATCTGTGTGGTGCAAAATGAGTTGTGCAATGCGTGGTGCAGTCTGGTAGTCTGTACGGTGCAGCCAGAGTGGTGCAATTTGTGTATGGCACAACATGTTTGATGCAATATACACGGTGCATTCTATGTGACGCAATCGATGTGAAGCAACAACACTTGTGGTGTAACCCCGGTGGTGCAATGCTTACGCCGTATGTAGCCCTGGTGGTCCCCCTTGTAGGTATTTCGGGTGTCTCTTGGGACCTCTCCGGGGCTTCACGGATGCATTTTGGGGCCTCTCGAGGGCTTGCTGGCGGGCTCGGGACCATTTTTGGGGGAATGACTCGACATGGCAGGTCGTTGTTTCTCCTTGCGGTCCATTCGGGAACATGTTAGGACCTCTTTGGGGGTGCCTGTGCGGACTCTTGGGGCTCTCTTCAGCCGTCCTGAGGGTCTCTGATAGGCGTCTTCGGCCGCCGTTGGGGCGATCTTGGGGGCCTCGTGGGCAGTCTTTCGGCGGCGAGCGAGGGGGGGAAATGAGAAGGAAACGCCATTCTCAGAAGGTAGCGGGACTTCTCAGACGCCCTCGCGCCTTCTGAGAAATTGTTGTTCTTGAATTCGGGCGAGGTTTAGAAAACTTCTCGGAAGGCCGGGGGATTTCCGAACCTTCTGAGAAGGCCTTCTCCGTCTCGCTTCCCCCCTCGCCCGCCGCCGAGTCTTGGGCGTTCGGAAACTTGGAAAAGCGAAAACGCTAACATCATTGAAACATGTCCTCGGATTTGCGGGCCTCCTGGAAATCCTTGGCAGGCTTCGGCATGTCTCCCAGAAGGATATCGATTTCCCACTGTTTTCTCTACAGCTTTGGGGCATCAGTTTCTTCTGGCCTCTGGGCATTCCGACGCCGCTGCGGGGGCCCCAGTAATCGTCCCAAGAAGGGCTACGAAGGCTTCAGGACGGCCCAAGAGAGCCCCAAGACGGCCCAGGCCCCAAGTCGCCCCCCAAAAGACTCCACGTCAGCACATCAGTCGTTCAGGGTCCCCGCGGTTGGCAGCAAGATGGCTCCAAGAAGCTCTGAGATTCTACGGAAAGGCTCCCAGGAGGCTTCAAGAGGCCCCCAAGAAGCCCCCAAGGTGCCTCCCCGGAGGCTCTCTAGAGACCCTCCAATGAAGAGCCTCCGTCAAAACACTGACGAGGAAGAAACGGAAGCGTTCACAGGGAAAGGCCAGAATAAGGAAGAGGAGCCAAGGAAGAATCAGGAAACATTACAGAACGACGAGAGCGAAAACGGGGGCAATAATACACGATGTTGCTTTTCTTCTTATTGTTATCATATGTCTCTCTCTATACATGTGTGTATGTATATGTATCTCTTTCTATACCTCTTTTATTTCTCTATCTCTCTCTTTTGTTTCTCTCTCTCTCTCTCTATTTCTCTCTCTCTCTCTCTTTCCATATCTTTCTCATCTAGCCTGCTTGCGATGAAGAGCAAGCTGGGTAGCACGAAGCGCTGTCTCTCTCGGTGCCTTTCTCTTACCCACGTACCTCTGTCTCTCTCGCTCTCTCTCTCTCTCTCTATGTAGACGTTCCCCGAACACTGCTAGCACTCGGGCTTCCCTGCCTGCGTTCTAAGGCAACTCGGCCCCGGCGCCGCTCCGGCCAGCCAGTCGCCGCTGGTCGCCACCGTCGCCGCCGGGCCCCGTGCCGGCCCGACCGGCGCGCCGCCGCCCGCTGTCGCCCGTGGCCGCCGTCGCCGCGGGGCCTTGGGGCGGTGCGGCCAGGTCGTCGCCGCCCGTCGCCGCGGTGCTCTGCGTTGCCGTTCGTTGCTTTTTGCGCTGCGCTGCACTGCCTCGAGCTGCTCTGCGCTGCTCTGCGCTGCGTCGTGTCGGCTGCTCTGCACTGCGTCGCGTGTCGTCGCACCGCTCCACGCTGCTCTGCACTGCTCTGCACGGAGGTTCGTTGCTTTGCATCGTTGTTTATTCCTTTGCATGGCTTGGCCTTGCTTCACATTGCTTTGCGCTGCATTGATTTGCATTGCATTGCCCTGCATGGCTTCAACTTGCGTTGCCTTGCTTTGCGTTGTGTTGCTGTGCATTGCTTTGCCTTGCCTTGCTTAACATTGCTTTGCCTTGCTTTGCATGGCGTCGCATTGCTCTGCGTTGCTTTGAACTACTTCACATCACATTGCCTTGCTTTGCAATGCATTGCACTGCATTGCGCCACATATTACGCCACATAGATTTCACCACCTAGATTGTACCACATTGATTGCAGCACCTAGACAGCACCACATATATTGCAAGAAACCATTGTTTGGGATCCATGTTGGCTAACATATGCAACTTGTGTTCGCTTCTCCGTGTTGCAATACGTGTGATGGAATCTGCGTGGTTCAATCAGTGTGGTGAAATATGTACAGTGCAATGCGCTGTGGGCATCCGCGCGTGACCACCGCCCATGCTCGAGCAATCAGCCCACCAACCTACCCGCAATTGTTTGGCAAAACGCATGAAGGCCAAGAGTGCATTTACCCGTCGGAATTTGCTCGCGAATCTCAAGTGGCGCAGTGTCGCGTGGATTCTGCTCATGCAGATCAGTGGCTTGGGCGGGCAAGTGAAGATGTTGACGACAACTTGGACGACGACGATTATGATGGTGATTACGGTGGCGATGATAACGAGGGCGACGACATCGATGATTACGATGATGACGACGGTGGTGATGACGACGACGATGGTGATGATGACGATGACAACGACGACGCTGGCGATGATGATCACGATGGTGCTGATGAGAATAACGAGGACGTGCGCGCACAGAGAAATCCTTGACTTCTGTCGCATTTCCCATTGGAGAAACAGTAGGTTTCGAATGCTGTCTAATATCGTGGAAACCTATGTCAAGAAACACCCTGCTTGCCTCCAGGGTGCACTGGGTTTCTCGGGTCTCGATGGTTTTGCGATGGAAAGCGTGACGTCCCCACACCAAAAACCAACAGACATCCCGGGGTCTCAGGGTTGGGTCTCCTGCGGAGGGTTTCTCTTAACTATAACTCTATATGTCGGTATCGTTTAACCGATCCCCATCCCCATCCCCATCCCCTTCGAGACCCCCACCAAATTACCACCCCAGTTGCGGATACACCCCTCGAAACCCGACGGGAACGACCTATGCCCCCACCCAGGGGGGTCAATCGGCCAGTGGGGCCCAGGCCGCGCCGCTGGGGATGGGCATCTCGGTCAACCGACACCCCGTGCCGAGATGCCGCGGGCATGGCGCTGGCGCGCCTGCGGACGCGCCCGCGCCGAGGCGCGCGATCGCGCGTGCGGCCCGCGCGGCACCGTCGGACGGAGCCGACGGGCGCGCGGTGCCTGCTGCATGGCGTCGGCCTGCGCGTGCGTGCGGCCCGCTTCGCCGCGGCCGCCCACCGGCCGCCCGGGCCCTGGCGCGCCTGGCCTGCCGCTGCCCGCCGGCGGCCCATCGCCGGCCTCTTCGGCGTCTGGGCGTCCCGCCGTCCGCTCGGCCTCCCCCCCCCCTCCTCCTCCTCCTCCTCCTCCTCCTCCTCCTCCTCCTCCTCCTCCTCCTCCTCCTCCTCCTCCCCTCCTCCTCCTCCTCCTCCTCCTCCTCCTCCTCCTCCTCCTCCTCCTCCTCCTCCTCCTCCTCCTCCTCCTCCTCCTCCTCCTCCTGGGTTGTCGAAGGCCAGACTGTCAGATTGGATTGGGCCCCGAGGGCCAATCTGGCCTGGCCAAGATGGACGATCTGGGTGATCCGCCAGACTGGATTCGCGCTGGCTCCCTCGCCAGATTGCCCTCGTTTGCCAGATTGGGCCTGCCAGATTGGCGCCAGATTGGCTTCGACTACCCAGCCTTTCAAGCAGTGGCGAAGCGTCCCGGCTCGCCTATAGCCCCACCAAGCAATGTTCTAAGAACCTTTCGTGGCTCCCACGAAGTGTTCTTAGAACATTTCTGGCTGGGAGCGTCTTGTTTTAACACATCGGGTTTATGTTCTAAGAACATTGTTTTTGCTCTTAGAACATGTCTGGGTTCTAAGAGCATTTTGTGGTATGACTATAAAAATACCGGGACGTTCGGTCCCTGCCCAATCCTTGCACGCCAGCCAATTCGCTAGTTGGTGCCCCTGCCTAGCTGCTCGCTGGAGCGGATTTCGCCGCCTCGCCGCTGACGGCAAAGCCGTGTGGCCCGCACGGTCTCCTCCAATGGGCTGGCCAAGCGCCGGTGTGCTCTGGGATCGTGCGCGTTGTTTTGCTGATCGGCGCGGGCCCTCTGTGAGAAGGCAGATTCGTTTTCAAAGAAAGAACGTATTTTTGAAGGCAAATATGCCGTCATTTTATATATACATATATATAAAGAAATTCGCCTTCCAAACATAAGTGTTTTTTAGTTGAAGGCATATCTGCCTGTTACAGAGTAGACCACGCTGTTTCCGGCGCCAGTTTCAAACAGGTGGAGTAAGCACGCGAGCCCCGCCTCCTCACAGGATTTTTCCTGGGGGCCCTGTTTCAAACAGTCACACTACGCAGAGGTCCGGAGCCAGACATTCCCCTCCCCCCTCCTCCTTTTCGTTCAATGCCGAAGCGCCGAAACAGAGAGCGTTTATTTTCTTATGCTTCAAGCGAGTGCGCGCGTGGAAATCTTGCAACTCTTTTCTGGACACTCCACGGCTCGTGATAGGCTCGACCAGGTTTGCCTTGAGACGGCTGGGAAGATACAGTCGAGCATGTGATTATGAATCGGGGGTGGACAGAACCCCCAGCAGTCACACGTCGATTAGTGAATTGTCCGTTTTCGGTTCTCGAGAGGGCGCCGTGGCCGTTATTTTCCAGGCTTGCGCCCGCCAGGTTTGGGCCCGAGGCCGTTTTCACTAAACCACGTTTTACTAAGGGGGGGTCTGTCCATCCCCGAATGAAGCCTCATCCAGAAAAGCTGGGCCAGCCTTCCTCAACCAATGTGCCAGCATGTTGCCCAGTTCTTTGTGCACGGTCGCCTCTGCGGCGTGAACAGCAGGAATTGGCCCAGATTGGCAAGAAAGCTCCGGGAAGCTGGCCCAGATTTGTCAAACTATAGTTTTCTTGCTCATAGTCTCGGTTGTATTAACTTTGACTGATTTTGACGCGCGCGCATGTGGCGCGCATGCGCAGGGTATTGTTTGATAGGGGGTACGCATGTGCTCCGCATTGTTTTTGTTGCGGGAGGTGGCGGGGAGGGGAAGGGCCGATGCTTGGCATGATTCATTTGATGTCTCAGATGGGCGATCTTGCGGACCAAATACGGAAACGCAATACGCGGAGGAGCGGGGATAACCTCGGCCCCGGTGGGGCCAAGGGGGCGGTAAACGTATTATTATGTGTACGAGAAGGGGATCAGGATGGTGCGAGCAATACCTGGAAACGCCAGCCAGCGTACTGGGCGGCCACGAGGCGGCTTCTGACACACACACGCACATTCACATTCACATTCACATTCACATTCACATTCACATTCACATTCACATTCACATTCACATTCACATTCACATTCACACACACACACGCACACACACAAACATTCACACACACACACACGCACACACGCAGACACACACACACATACACACACACACGCAGACACACACACACACACACTTTTTAGTCGGCGGCGCAGAGGATCCTCAGGCGCGGACGACAGATGGAAGTGCCAATTGCGATCGAGCACTGCCGAAGGCACAGTTAACAGACGTGCACACTGTCAAAGGCAGCGATGGGTGGTGTGAAGGAACAACTGTACATTCAAGCGAAGCATGCAGCGGCCAGAAAACCGAGGGAGGAAACAACTTAACTCGAGGTAAGCTGAAGCTCGAGCCGTCTGGTGCGAAGCGGCGGCCACTGAATCGCTGGCACGCACACGCACGCACTTCGGCGTCGGCGGCTAGGCAGGGGTCGTCAGGCGCTGGCGGAAGAAGCCAACTACACGGGGGCACCAGTGCAGCGAAGTGGCCCGCACGCGCGAGGAGGGGACGGGACGGAGCCTGCGGCGCCGCAGGGAGGGGGAAAAGGCGATGGCCACGCAGGGGATGATTCCTGGATGGAGCTGGCGCAGCTGGCCCCGCCCGCGGGGACAGCGGGCGGCTGCTGCGCCGGGGTCCCAGCGGCGGCGGGCCCCGGGGCGGGTACTGATAGCCAAGCATCGCGAGGCCATCGAGGAGCACGAAGCTCCGGACCGGCGGGTCGCGCGCCGCCCAGGTGGGCGCGCGGGAGGCGCGGCGAGCAGACGTGCGCCGAGGATGGAGCGCGTGCAGCAAAGTGCCGGGCCAGCGTGGGGTGGTGGGCGGCAAGACCGGGCCCAGGTGCCCATGCGTGGCGGCTGCAGGCTGCAGCCCCGGCGCCGTCGCGGCGCGCGGGGGGAGGGGGAGCGGGCGGGGGGAGGGGAGGAGGCGAACAGGGAGCCGGGAAGGGGAGCGCCCCGCAGGCAGGAAGCTGCGCAGGCGGGGTGGCCTCCGGCACGCACGCACGCACGCACACGCACACACACACACACACACACGCACACGCGCACGCACACGCACACGCACGCGCACGCGCACGCGCACGCACGCGCGCACGCACACACACACACACACACACACACACACACACACACACACACACACACACACACACACACACACACACACACACACGCACACACACACACGCACACACACTTTGGCGGCCACCAGCCGAAAGCCTGGCAGGTTCCAGCCGGCGCACGAGGCGGCCACGGGGCGGCCACGGGCGCCCAGCCGCAGAAGGCTCGGCCGCGCCAGGCGGCACCACGAGGCGACCGCGAGACGACCACACTTTGGCAGAGCCAGCCAGATATCGAGAAGCCTTCTCGATATCTGGCTGGCTCTGTTCTCGCGTTCAGTCAGCCGCGATTGGTCCAACGCTATACCGAGCATTTTGCGATTAAACGTTTAATTTTTTGAATTGCGTTTTGTCGTCAAAAGCTTCGCCAGTAGAATGGCACCACTGAAGAAGGCGAGTGCAACCCCACATTTTTCGGGGGGGAGATATCCAGTACGCAGGGAGTGAAAGAGAGGGTGCGTTGCGCGCTGCTGTGGGCCAAGCGCTCTGGGTTGTCCGAGCCTGCAGATCATGCAGAGCCATGACTGAGCGGGCGAGTGATCATAGTGACGACGACGACGACGACGACGACGGCGATGCTGATGATAATGATGGTGGTGGTAATGATGATGATGAGGATGATGGTGGTGGTGATGATGATAGCGGTGGCGATGATGACGAAGGCGACGACAACAGCGGTGATAACGGTCATGACGACGGTGGTGATGATGACGTTGTTGTTGGCAAGAGTGGTGTGTGGTGCCAATGAGGATGACAACGACGACGCTGGCGGTGATGGTGACGATGGTGCTAATGAGGATGATGAGAAAGTGCGCGCGCAGAAATATGAAATGCTCCTGGTTGAGAAGCAGCTGGCTTGTGTTGAGCACCTTCATCTCGAAACAATGATTACACACCCAGTCGTTTGGCAATGATTTCGACGTGCGCGTGTAGGGGGGACGCGCGCGTGAGGCCCGCACGGTATTCTGTGACAGAGTTGGCGGATGCAAGATGAGGAGTGGATGTTCTTGATAGTCTCGGGCGCGTGTGACAATCGTTGTTTGACATCGGCTGTTGAAGATCATTTTGACAACAGCGGGTTCGAACAGATGTTGGTATGTGCGCACGCGGGTGGCCCGCATTGTACTCTTTGCTTCGAATTCACTGAGCATGCATTTTTTTGGGATCAGAGCGAGTGCCCCGGGTGGCATTCTTTGACCTGGACTACGGGCTTCGGTCAGGGGCCCTGCTCGGATGGCATCGCTTGACGCTCGCGATGCGAGACCGCGCAGAAGAGGCGTGCGGCGCCGATGCACCACGGGGTGTCCTCCTCCTCCTCCTCCTCCTCCTCCTCCTCCTCCTCCTCCTCCTCCTCCTCCTCCTCCCCCTCCTCCTCCCCCTCCCCCTCCCCCTCCCCTTCGGCCTCGGCGTGGGGGCAGAGTTTGACGTTCTTTGGGGGATGGAACCCATCTGGCGCTCACGGGCAGCGCCAGCCTGCGCGCGAGGCGGTCACGAGGCGCACACCGGACGAAGGCCTGGCCGCGCAAGCCAACTCTTTGCAACGTGAGCAAGAGCCTCTTAGCGCGAGCAGTGCGTGGGGAAACCTCATCCTCTCTACAGCAGGCAACCCTCGACGACGAGTGGAGCGAGCTGAAGCGCCTGAAGGAGATGATATGCGCAGAGCTCGGCAGACTATGATCCGTCGATCGAATGGGAGGATGCGGAGCATCAGCACTTGGAGAACGAGCAGGATGAAGAGGAGCATGAACGGGAGGAGGAGGAGGAGGATGAGGAGTAGGAGGACGAGGAGGAGGAGGAGGAGGAGGAGGGAGGAGGGAGGAGGGAGGAGGGATGAGGGAGGAGGAGGAAGAGGACGGCGAGAACTTCCTCGAAGAGGGAGGGGGAGGGTAGGTGGACCACGGATCCACGGAGCCACGGATCCATCGATCGCATCGGGGCGGTCCAAGGGGTGTTGGATCGACGGGGTGTTTCCGCGATTTTATCGCTTGGGATGGGTCCGTCCAGCAGGCCTCGGAGCATGGAGGGGGGCGGGAGACAGGAGGAGGGATTACGGATGAGGTTCGGAGGATGAGGAAGGACGGGGAGCCAGTGGAGGTGGAGAAGGAGGACCTAAGGGAGTCCTCCTCCTCGTCCTCGTCTTCCTCCTCGTCCTCCTCCTCCTCCTCCGAAGGAGGTGGAGGTGGAGGGGGGAGTCAGATCTCCTCTAAGGTACGGAGGTCTTCCCAGACGGGGACTCCAAGCAGCACATCCCCGTCAACATCTCCCGGATCATGGGCCGGGCCAAGATGCGGAGCTTGCAGGAGGACCCCGGCAATCGGAACGAGAAGTTCAGGGCATGACCAATCACAGGGGCAGTGAGGTCTTTCCGATGTTATCCGGATGAGGGCGAGGTGGAGGGGGAGGAGAGAGCAAGGAGGAGGAGCTGGAGGAGGAGGAGCGGGAGATGGGCGGAGCGAGGCAGGGAGGGACAGGCAGGGTCAAGGCCCACGCGTGCGTTTTTTCGCCGGCGCCCACATGCAACAGCATTAACATATGCTCGCGACTTGCACATCTACCCAAGTGTCTACGGTACAGGTGATAGTAGCAGTGCTCGGGCGATCAGCTGAACCATCATCGTCGCACGCGCTTCACTGTCATCGCAGCCGTGCTCTCTGTCAAGAATGACCATGGTGTGCGGAAAGGCCCGAATGCGACACTCTCATCGATCTGCGCCAGTACACTCAACACGAATGCTGCATAGCCAATGTTCACTACTAACGAATTGTTATATTATATGAGCCAGTAACCGCTGAGCAATGAGTGTTCTCCTAGTGCTCACGATTCGCTACTCGCTTGTTGCCGATCTCTCTCACATCCGTGACCGCCGCAAGATCGGCTTTCATGCGATAGGCGGAACAACTCGCGCCTTGTGTGTCCAACTGGACTTCCTGGGTGCGTGGCGCGTCGTCTTCACGCACGCTCACCTGCACTCAGTACCCGCGGCTCGCTTCACAATGCCATTCCTTCAACACTGCACCCGTCGTACCCCGTCATCCACACTGCGCACAAATCACCAATCATTATGTGCTACTGCCCACTGCTTGCGATCGCTGGCCTCTGCTGGTTGTGCGTTCCCCTCCGCTCCGGACGGGTTTGCTGCTCGCTGTCCCGTGCGCACGGATGATTACGTTTTGGTATTTCTTCAGATCGGACCGATGTCCTTCTGATTCCTGTTACGAGCGCATGTGTTAAACAATGTTCAGTGCACCTTGCTTTGTGCCAACACATTTTCGCTATCAGCTACTTGCCAGCCGACACGTGGGTTAGAGAGGAAGATTGCATGCTGTCCTTGTGGTTGAGCCCTGCATCGAAGGTACTCGCCCGTGGAGATCTGCCATAAGGTGAACCAGCTCATGCAGGAGCTGGAGGTGACGCGCGCGATCCAGGAGGGCGACGTCATCGGGCGCGAGGTGGAGGACAACGCGAAGATCGTGCTGAACGCGCACGTCCGCTGCCACCTGGCCTCGAGGAAGATCCTGCAGAAAGACGGCCTGACAAAGCAGTCTTTCGACTGGCTCATGGGCGAGATCAAGCAGCGCTTCATGAAGTCGTGCGTGAACGCGGGTGAGATGATCGGCACGTTGGCGGCGCAGAGCGTAGGGGAGCCAGCCACACAAATGACCCTCAACACGTTCCACTTCGCCGGTGTCGGGGCGAAGAACGTGACCCTGGGAGTGCCCCGCCTGAAGGAGCTCGGCAGGAGGAGGACGAGGAGGGAGGGTTAGGATGAGGACGCGGATGATGGCGACGACGATGACAGGGAGGAGGGAGAAAGTATACTCTCTCTCTCTATATATATATATAAAAAATGGAGAGAGAGAGAGAGAGAGTGAGAGAGAGAGAGAGAAATGAAAAACACAACAAAGGCACGATTATATTCTTAGGGGATGATGGGAAGGAGGAGGAGGAGGAGGAGGAAAGGGAGGAGCGGAGGGATATGATGCGAAGGGACGACGTGAAGAAAGAAGCGGCTGAGGAGAGTCGAGGAGGAGGAGGAGGAGGAGGAGGAGGAGGAGGACGAGGACGAGGACGAGGACGAGGAGGAGGGGTAGGAGGAGGATGAGGAGGAGGATGAGGAGGGAGAAGAACAGGAGCAGGACCACGGGATGATGACTATGAGGAGGAGAGAGGGGGGGATGACCAGGAGGAGGAAGGAGTAGGGAGAAGAAGGAAAGAGGAAGAGGGAGGACGGAGCGGGGATGAGTAGGAGGCATTGAGGTGAAGACTGCGAACTGGGGGGTGCTCCCCCGAAGGAGTTGATCAACGTGGCCAAGACTGTGAAGACACCCTCCCTGGCGGTCTACCTGAACGGGGACCTGGGCAAGAACCAGGAGAGGGCCAAGGACGGCAGCCTCGCTTTCCCCTGAAGGGGGGGCGGGTGGCAGGGAACATGAGGAGGGACCGGAGAAGGAACGATGAGCGAGGATGAGGAGGAGGAGGAGGAGGGAGGAGGAGGAGGAGGAGGAGGAGCAGGACAGGAAGGAGAGGAGGAGGAGGAGGGAGCGCACAGGACATGAGCATCACCCGTCGGAGGCCCGCGCCCCCCCCCTTCCGCCGCGCGGAGCTCCGAGCTCCAGGGGGAGGGGGAGGGCGCGGGCGCGCCAGGGAGGCGCCCGCCCGGGGTGGGAGGGCCCCCTCCTCCTCCTCCTCCTCCTCCTCCTCCGCCTCCTCCGCCTCCTCCGCCTCCTCCGCCTCCTCCGCCTCCTCCTCCTCCTCCTCCTCCTCCTCCTCCTCCTCCTCCTCCTCCTCCTCCTCGCAGGACGTGCAGAGCACGCTGGAGCACACGACGCTGCAGAAGGTCACCGCCTTCACGCAGATCTTCTGGGACCCGGACCCGGTGAACACCCGCGTGGTGGAAGACAAGGATCGGCGGGCTTCGGCGGGCCCGGCCACCAGAGTGCCCGCCGCGGGGGGTGGGGGGGGGATGGGGAGGGGGAGGGAGGGGCAGGGGGGGCAAGGGAGCAGACGGAGGAGGCAGAGGGTGATCGGGAGGGAGGTGGATGAGGAGAAGGGTGCTTGGGGCGAAGCGGAGGACGAGGGGGAGCGACAATGAGATGATGATGGTGATGATGACGATGACGATGACGATGACGATGACGATGACGATGATGACGATGATGGTGATGATGAGGAGGAGGAGGAGGAAGATGGGGGTGAGGATGATGACGACGATGACGACGATGATGACATGCTGATGGTGATGACGATGATGATGATGATGATGGTGATGATGATGATGATGATGATGATGATGATGATGATGATGGTGAAGATGATGATGACGATGTTGATGATGGTGATGATGGTGGTGGTGATGATGATGCTGATGGTGATGATGGTGGTAGTGATGATGATGCTGATGCTGACGATGATGCTGATGATGATGACGATGATGACGACGATGATGCGGATGATGATGGTGATGATGATGATGCTGATCATGATGGTGGTGATGATGGTGATGGTGATGATGATGATGATGATGATGATTATGACGATGTTGATGATGCTGATGATGATATTGATGATGCTGGTGAAGATGGTGATGATGGCGATGATGATTATGGTGATGGTGATGATGATGATGCTGATGCTGCTAATGATGATGATGCTGCTGATGATGATGGCGACGATGATGCGAATAATGATGTTGATGATGATGACGATGATGATGATGATGATGGTGGTGATGATGATGATGATGATGATGATGATGGCGATGGTGATGATGATGATAATGATGACGATGCTGATGACGTTGATGATGATGATGTTGATGATGCTGCTGATAGTGATGGTGATGATGATGGTGATGATGATGGTGATGGTGATGCTGATGGCGATGATGATGCTGCTGATGCTGATGCTGATGCTGATGCTGATGATTGATGATGATGATGATGATGATGATGATGATGATGATGATGATCATGATCATGATCATGATCATGATCATGATGATGATGATGATGATGATGATGATGATGGTGATGGTGATGGTGATGGTGATGGTGATGGTGATGGTGATGATGATGATGATGATGATGATGATGATGATGATGATGGCGGTTGTCGTGGTGGTGGTGATTGTGGTGATGATGATGATGATGATGATGATGATGATGATGATGATGATGATGATGGTGGTTGTGGTGGAGGAGGAGGAGGATGAAGAGGGGGGAATTTGTAGATGCCATAATGACGGCGAGGATGATGAAGAGAGCATGATCAGTTGGAGGTGAAAGCACGTGTTGGAGTCGGACGATATGGAGGGCACGACCGAAGCAAGGACCACCGTGGCGGACAGCATCCCTGTCCTACGTGAGCCCAGGTGAGTGAGGCCGTGGCCCCTCCGAAACACTTTGGTGTATGGCGAGGCATGCGTGCGAGACATATCACGAGACATGGTGCGAAACGGAAGACGAGTGGATGAGGGGGAGGAGTCCTTGTTGTTGGAGTCCTCGTTGGCCGGCGGGTCGCCGCAGCTGATGCTCTGTGGCGGTCCGCGTCGGTGTCCGGCTGTGTTTTTGTGTAATCGCCCTGGCCTTTACTGGGATTGGTGCTGGTGTTGGTGGAGGTGTCGAGCTGGCAGCCGGAGGTCAGTGGGTGGAGGTGGAAGTAGAAGGTCGGGGTGATGGATAGTGGAGGTCAGAGTGCTGAGCTGTTGGAGGCTGGAGGTCGACAGCCGAAGGCGGAAGTAGAAAGTCGTCGGGTGCTGCGCTGGCCCTCGGGGGAGGAGGAGGAGGAGGAGGAGGAGGATGAGGAGGAGGAGGAGGATGAGGAGGAGGAGGAAGAGGAGGAGGAACAAGAAAAGAAGAAGAAAAAGAGGAGGAGGAGGAGGAGGAGGAGGAGAGGGAGGAAAGGAGGAGGAGGAGGAGGAGAAGGAGGAGGAGGAGGACGAGGTGGAGGTGGAAGTGAGAAGTCGGTGGCTGGAGGTCAGAGTGTCGAACTGGTGGCGGCTAGAGGTCGAGATGTAAGCTGGGAGTGGGAGGTCGGATGCCGGGTGCTGCAGGTCGGAATGTTGGGCTGTCGGAGGCTCGAGGTCAACATGTGGAGGTGGAGGTGGAAGTCAGATGCCCGATGCTGGGTGTCGGAGTGTTGGGTTGATGGAGGCTGCAGGTCAATAGGTGGAGGTGGAGGCGGAAGGTCGGATGTCGGATGCTGAAGGTCGGGATGCTGAGCTGGTGGAGGCACGAGGTCGATACGTGGAAGTGGGAGTGGAAAGTCGGATGCTGGGCGCTGGAGGTCGGAGTGCTGAGTCGGTGGAGGCTGGAGGTCGATAGGTGGAGGTGAAGTGGAAAGTCGAATGCTGGACGCTGGAGATCGGAGTGTTGAGCTGGTGGCGGCTGGAAGTCGAGTGGTGGAAGTGGACGCGGAGGTGCAGAGTCGAATGTTGGACGCTGGAGGTTGGAATGGTGAGCTGGTGGAGGATGGAATTCGATAGGTGGAGGTGGAGGTGAAGGTGCAAAGTCACATTGGATGGAGGTGTAGGTGGAGGTGGAGGTGGACAATGTTGAGTGGAAGGGGACGGAGGAGACGGAAGAGATAAGAGGACTGGGGAACGAGGGAAGATCAGGCGAAGGGAGGAGGAGGACGATACTAAGGATGAGGTGTCAAGCAGAAGTCGTGCAGCTTGAGGTGGGAACGTTACCCCAAATTTGTGGCATAATGATTTATAGGGCGATTAGTTACCGTGCGTGATCGAAACACCATATCTGACATCAGTGTCAAATAAGGCATCCTGGCATGTTTTACACCCTTGCGTGATTGAATTCCGAGGTCCGCTTGATGATTGATTATTGTGTTTTATTCCTCCACCCCTTCCTCCCCCTCCGCGTTCACCCACTTCTTCTCCGTCCTCACCCGTCCTCCGTCCTCTCTCCTTTGTTCCCCCGTCAGTATTCTGCCTTGAGCGCCTGGTGATGGAGATTCTCTGCCAGCCCTTCCTCCTCCTGGCAGTTGTTGCAGTTCGCACTCGTGTCGCACACACTGGTTGGTGGGACACCCTAGCTCTGGAGTAGACCCACTAAAGGAAATGGCTACTCAACATATGGAAACATACGCGGTGCCGCGTGTTAGTTTACCGCATCAAGCGGCAGCGTTGAAAAACGATCAGTAGCAGCCCCAGCGGCACACCCGTGAATAAGGTGCCCGTGAAAACGGCGCTGGGTGGAAAACGCGGTGCCCCCCCGCCCCCGCTGGGAAAACTCCCCAGAACGACAATCAACAGAAACCCGCAACGGCCTAAGCGCCGCAGTGGCCGGCACCCACGGAGCCCGTCCAACAACCACGCAGAGAGAGGACTTTTACGATGTTTCCACTCGTCACCGAGTCGTTGCCTCAATCCGCAGTGGGGCCGTAGGGGTGATCCTAGGGGCGACCGCCGCGACCCGTCGACATTTGCGGTCCCTGCCGATGGCCACTCCAAAGAGCCTGGCAGCGGCAGCGGGTGGCGGTGCGAAGTCATGCCACTACCGTCGCGTCGATTGGCACTCTTATGATGCCGTTTTGTAAAGCCGCTCATTGGCGACAGGTCACTCTTACAGGTCGTCAGAAGACGACGCATGTTGCCGCGTAGTGCCTACTAGGTTTGCCTCGGCCGCGGGAACGGCCGCAGCGTGTCCAGGGACAGCTGCAGGAGGGTGTAGGCTTCGCACTCGTGTCGCCCTTCCTTCCGCTTTCTCCGTCTCGTCCTCCTCCTCCACCTCCTCCTCCAGATTGCTCCACCTCCTCCTCCTTCTCCTCCTTCTCCTCCTCTCCTCCTCCTCCTATCCCCCTCCTCCCCCCCCTCTCCACCTCCTCCTCCTCCTCCTCCTCCTCCTTCTCCTCCACCTCCTCCAGATTGCTCCTCCCCCTCTCTTCCTCCCCCCCCTCCTCCTCCTCCTCCTCCTCCTCCTCCTCCTCCTCCTCCTCCCCCTCCTCCTCCTCCTCCTCCTCCTCCTCCTCCTCCTCCTCCTCCTCCTCCTCCTCCTCCTCCTCCTCCTCCTCCTCCTCCCCTCCTCCCCCTCTCCTCCTCCTCCTCCTCCTCCCCCCTCCCCCTCCCCCTCCCCCTCCTCCCCTCCTTGGCCTCCGCGGAGGCCAGGCTCTCGCGAAGCGTCATCACGTTGTTGACCAGCTGCTCGTGGCGGCTGACCGCGGCGCGCCACACAGTCGAACCGGGGTAGGAGATCGAGGTCGGTTCGGGGAGGGCACCCTGCTGCTCTTCGTGCCTGTCGGCTGCTCCTGTGCATCCTGGGGGGGGGGGGGCCCTCGGATGCCCCGTGCGCTCTGGCCAGCGGAGGGCCTCGCGCTCCTGCAGGATGCTCCCCTGTCCGCGGTCCACCGCCCCTGGCCACGCCCCTCCTGGGCCCGGTAGCGCGCGCGCGCGGTGCGGTGAACCTGCTGTCAGATTGGCAGACTTGCACATGCCATAGGCGGGCTCTCCTCCTCCTCCTCCTCCTCCTCCTCCTCCTCCTCCTCTTCCTCCTCCTCCTCCTCCTCCTCCTCCTCCTCCTCCTCCTCCCTTCTTCCTCCTCCTCCTCCTCCTCCTCCTCCTGCTTCTCCTCCCGCGGGCCCCCGCCGCCGAGGAGTGGGTCAGCGAGTACTACGAGCTCCCGGACGAGGACGACAACCCGGCCCGGTGCGGCGCGTGGCTCCTCCGCATCCAGCTCAGCAACAAGGTCATGACCGACGGGGGCTCAGCGGGGCCCCGGCCGCCCCGGGCGTGCGCGGAGCAGGCCGGTGCGGCGAGGGGCCAGGCCTATGGGACAGGGTGTAGGCTGGATGAGGAGGCCGGAGGAAGCGACGAGGAGGACGAGGAGCGGTTGGTGGAGGTGCAGGATGGGAGAGGGGGGCGAGGAGGAGGAGGAGGAGGAGGAGGAGGAGGAGGAGGAGGAGGAGGAGGAGGAGAGGAAGGAGGAGGAGTGGGAGGAGGAGGGAGGAGAGGGAGGAGGAGGGAGGAGGGAGGGAGGGAGGAGGAGGGAGGAGGGAGGAGGAGGGAGGAGGGAGGAGGAGGAGGAGGAGGAATAGCTACATGACGGCGTCAGTGAAAGTGGACTGCCCAGTGGCTCGCTGACGTGCTGACCGTTCGGCAGCACTCACAGCCTCGGACACAATCCCCTTATTAAACCGATCCTGGTAAGACCTCCTGGTGGCAGTGAGGGACTGGGAATCAAGTTCCTGAGCTCCGCTTGTAGGTTAGACGCGAAGAAACACCCGCAAGCCCCACAGATCCAGACCTCGAGCGCGTGGTTATATAACATTGCAAGGGATTCGTGGGCCCCCCCAGCTACATGTGGCTTTCCCCTTTGAGGCCTGGAGAAGAACTGGCATTGACGTGCTCTAGCGGAAGGCATGGTGAATTCAGCCATTCGTGCAAGGTGCGTTTGGTGCCATTGATACGACAAGCGGCACATCTAAAACACACATACGCTAACCTGGAGGAGGAGGCGGAGGAGGAGGATGAGGAGGGGTCGAGAGGAGGAGAAGGATGCGTGTCCGGAAAGAGGAGGAGGAGAGGAGGAGGAGGAGCAGGAGGAGGAGGAGGAGGCGGAGGAGGAGGAGGAGGAGGAGGAGGGAGGAGCCCAGAAGCATCCCGCATGACGGTGAGCAGCCACGCGAATCTGCGATTCGCTGGGGTGACGCGCAGTGGGTCGCGCGCCACAGTCGTCGAGCAGCGCTGCGCAGCCCTGCGGACAGCTGCAGGATGTTCTCAGCATCCAGGAGGGAAAAAACATACAGACACAATGCATCGTCGATTCCCCAGAAAATATGGGAAAATATGGGAAGTGTGGGGGGAGACAAAAACCAAGAAAATATGAGAAACTATGGGGAGTATGTTTCATTGAGTGTATTCATTTGTGTGTCCCAGGGCCCCTTCAAACATCCACGAGCGGGGCTACGATGGCATCGCGCGCGATTTTTTTGGAGCAGCGCAACGTCTACCTGCAGTGCGGCGAAGAGCCGCAGCATCGCCATGGTGTCACCCACCTGTCAGGGCGAGTACTGCCCCGAGCATCGCGTCCCTGAGTTGCTGGGCGGGTGCTAGACGCGCCACGCTGAGCAGCGCGTCGGACAGTGCAGGGCGAGCAGTGCTCCGAACACCCCGGCTCCAGGCAGCGCGACCGACTCCTGCAGCGCGACGTCGATGAACGCATCGGCGAACGGCAGAGCAACTCTGACATCCAAGAGTGCGACGGGCAGTGTGGCGGACGCGACTCTGAGCGGCACGTCGAGAGCCAGCCGATGACTTCTAGCGGCAGCTCCATGGTGTCGCGCACAAGCGTGACGCGCATCATGGCGCGACTTCGGAGAGCAGCGCGGGGGGTATCATTAGCAGCATGGGGACGAGCAGCCCGACTGAGAGCCGTATAATTTTGATATCCACGAGCGGGCTGAGGAGCGCGTCGCGCACCAATTGAGCGAGCAGCTTGCAGCGGCAGGCTGAAGAGCATGACGGAGAGCAGCAGCTCGACCTTGGCATCCACCAGTTGGGGCAAGCCACGCTTCGAGCCATTCGTTCACAGGAAGGTCAGGACGGGGCAGGCGGCTCTGGGGCTGTTGCGGGTTCAAATCGGGTAGGTGTTCAGAACGTAGGTGTGTCCCACAGCGGGCAGTTCTGGTATCACGGGGACGACTTCCGCATTGCCCTCAACAACGGGTTATGAGGTCGTCCCTGTCTGTGGCGCGACTGGCGAATGTGGTCTTCCTCCCTATGTCCGAATCTATGTGTAGCTATACGACCACCCTGCGGGTGATAAGGAGATTGGGGGAGGAGGAGGCCAGCAATGGGCAACAGTGGTGATTGTTGTTCTGACGATGCCAGTGGAGATCGTTGCGTTGCAGATCGCTCTTGGGAGCCTTGGTGTTAAGAGCCTTGGTGTTAAGAGCCTCAATACAGATCTCACTATTGATCTGACGGTCGATCTCAGTACCGATCATCCTATCGATCTCACTATCGTTCTCACTATCGGTCTCATCGATCTAATTATCGATATCATTGTCGATTGGAGGTTGGGGGGTGAGATCGAAGTGAAACGGAGAGCGCCCCTACCAGGAAATCGATTTCGGTTTCGTGCTCGTGCCGTGCGTGCGGGCGAGGCGAAGCTGCGTGGGCGGGGGAGAGGAAATTCTCCTGTGGCTGGGCCATGGCCGGACCAAAAGGTTCTCCGCCCGCCAACTGGTGGCGCGCGGTGTCCCGCTGGTGTCCCGCTGGTGTCCCGCTGGTGTCCCCCCGGTGTCCCGTCGTTGTCCCGTGGTGTCCCGTGGTGAGATCGACAGTGAGATCGATAGTGAGATCGATAGTGAGATCGATAATGAGACCGATAGTGAGATCGATAGTGAGATCTATAGTGAGAGATCGACAGTTAGATCTATAGTTAGATCGATCGTGAGATCGATAGAGAGATCGATAGTGAGATCGATGGTGAGATCGATCGTGAGACCGATAACGACGATCGCCCTTGCAAAATAAACGAAACAAATCATTATTTCGTTTGTTCCGGGGGGGGAGGAGAATGATACCAAGGCGCCCAAGAGCGAAGGATGACGTAAACAACTCGACACCAAGGCCCCCAAGAGCGAGCGGCAACGCAACAATCACCACTGTTGCCCATTGCTGGCCCCCCTCCCCCCCCAACCTCCTTATTACCCGCAGGGTGGTCGTATAGGTATCACTATCGATCTCAGCACGTGAATCCACGGGACACCGACGGGACACCGATGGGACACCGACGGTACACAATCGATCTCACTGTCGATCTCACTATCCATCCCACTATCGATCCCACTATCGATCTCGCTATCGATCTCACTATCGATCTCGCTTTCGACCTCCTATCGATTCCACTATCGATCTCGCTATCGATCCCACTCGATCGATCTCACTATCGATCTCACTATCGATCTCACTATCGATATCACGATCGATCTCACTATAGATCTCACTATCGATCTCTCACTATAGATCTCACTATCGATCTCACTATCGGTCTCATTATCGATCTCACTATCGCTCTCACTGTCGATCTCACTGTCGATCTCACCACGGGACACCACGGGACAACGACGGGACGCTGGCGGGACATCAGCGGGACATCAGCGGGACACCGGCGGGACATTGCACGCCACCGGTTGCCGGGCGGAGAACCTTTTGGTCCGGCCGCGGCCCAGTCACGACGGGGCACCGGGGGGACACCAGCAGGACACCAGCGGGACACCGGCGGGACACCGGGCGCCACCAGTTGGTGGGCGGAGAACCTTTTGGTCCGGCCATGGCCCAGCCACAGGAGAATTTCCTCCCCCCGCCCACGCAGCTTCGCCTCGCCCGCACGCACGGCACGAACACGAAACCGACCGGTAGGGGCGCTCTCCGTTTCACTTCGATCTCACCCCCCAACCTCCGATATACGTGTACACATATACGTTGGGAGGTTGGGGGGTAAGGTCGCCGTGGAACGGAGAGCCCCTCACCAGGAAATCTGTTTCGGTTTCGTCTTCGTGTCGTGCGTGCGGGCGAGGCGAAGATGCGTGGGCGCGCGAGAGGAATGATGCCGCCGTGGCTAGTGGCTGTGGAGCTTGTTGTCCGCCGCTCCTCCACCTGGCGCGCGGTGGCAGGGGTTGTCCCGACGGTGGCTCTGGGTGTCCCTCCGTGGTGTCTCGATAGTAGCTCGTGAGATCAGTTGTGAGATCGATAGTGAGATCGATTGCGTGATCGTGAGATCCAGAGATCGATCGTGAGATCGATAGTGCGATCGATATCGAGAGTGATAGTGCGATTGATGGTCAGTTGTGAGATGGATAGTGCGGTCGATGGTGAGATCGATTGCGTGATAGATCGTGATCGTGAGATCGATCCCGGGTTGCCCCGTCGGTGGCGCGGGGGTCCCCTGTCGGTGCCGCGGAGTGCCTCATCGGTGGCGCGGGGTGTCTCGACGGTGGCTCCAGTTGTTCCTCCGTGGTGTCTCGATGGTAGTTCGTGAGATTAGTGATTAGTGGTGAGATCGATAGTGAATTCGACAGAGTGTGATCGATTGCTTGATCGGTCGTGATCGTGAGATCGAGAGATCGATCGTGAATTCGATAGAGTGAGATAGATCACAACAGATCTTTTGCTGGGGGTGCCCCATCGTGGTGTCCCGATGGTGTCTCGTGAGACCTCTGATGAGGTTAATAGTGGGATCTATTATGATATCGATCATGAGATCGATAGTGACATCGATAGTGTGATCGATAGTACGATCGATGTCGAGAATGATGGTGAGATCGATGGTCAGTTGTGATATCGATAGTGGCATCGATGGCGCAGTTTCATCGACATCACAGTCATCGCAGTTGTTGTCAGTGGGTGTTCCTTTCCCCCCCAACCTCCTTATCACCCGAAGGGTGGTCGTATGGATAAATATACACATCATATACTTGCTTGCTTTCCATCTCTCTCTCTATCTCTTATTTTGTCTCTCTCTCTATATATATATATATATATGTATATCTTTCTCCGCCGCCTGCGTTGTCCTGGTCATGTTCTGCTGCAGCTGCCGTTTCTGTGTGCCGGCTCTTCTCCTCCCCCTTGTTCCTGAGGGATTGAGGACCTACTGGATAGACAGGGATCCAAGGGTGGATTTACGTTGTTCGAGGCGCGTCGTCCTCTTCGGGACCCCACCCCTCAGGACCCCACCTGTGAACCACCGACAGAGGCCTTCGGGAGAGCTCCTCTGAAGAGGAGGGCCCCCTTGCCCTCTAAGAACCCCCCTGCATTCTCAGAAGCTTCTCCTCCCAAGTGTTCGTTGGCGCGCACGTCAACGATGTCCGTGTCAAGCCGGCGAGGTCCGCCAGGCATTTCTTGCCCCGCTCGGCCAGGGGATGATTGAGCCTCCCGCCCTCACAGGGATTTCTCAATCAGCGGATTCGAAGAGGCGGAGGAGGAGGAGGAGGAGTAGGAGGTAGAGGGAGGAGGAGGAGGAGAAGGAGGAGGAGGAGGAGGAGGAGAGGAGGAGGTGGAGAAGGAGGAGGAGGAGGGGGAGGGGGAGGGGGAGGAGGAGAAGCAGGAGAAGGAGGAGAAGGAGGAGGTGCGGGGGAACGGGCAAGAGGATGAGGGGGAGGGAGCGGGGCAAGAAGAGGATGAGGAGGGTGAGGAGCACGAGGACGGGTGACGAGGACGAGGACGAGGACGAGCAGGAGCGGGAACCACCGCGGACCGCCAGCCCGCCAGCCGAGATCGGGGCCGGCAGATCGGGTCCAGATCGTGGAGGGGGGGGGGGCAGCGGGGGGATCTCTTCCGAGGACAAGAAGCTCACGGTGCGAGAGGTCGGCGAGCGGATCATCCACGACTTCCTCGGGGACCTGGACTGCATCTTCACGGACGACAACGCCGAGGACCGCGGGGCGACCGGGGCCGGCCTCTCCATGGCCGTGGCCTCCTCTCGGCCGGATGGCGAAGGGGGGATCAGGACATGGGGGGATGAGTATCCGGTACCGTTTTGTTGGGGTACAATTTGTACCTTCTCTGCGGGTTGCAAGTACAATTTGTACCTTCTCCCCCCCGTTAACATCCTCGCACATGTCGCGGACGTTGTCAAAAATACAATTTGTACCTTGTCTGCGTGGCGTCGGTACAAATTGTACCTTCTCCGTGGGGCGTAGGTACAATTTGTACCTCGGTTGCGCCTCTCTCCCCATCTGGACTTATTCCCCCATTTGCATCCCGCCAATCCTCCCTCCTCTTCCTTTTGCTCCTCCTCCCTCCCTCCCCTCCCCTCCCCTCCCCTCCCTCCTTCCCTCCCTCCCCTCTCCTCCTCCTCCTCCTCCTCCTCCTCCTCCTCCTCCTCCTCCTTATCATCATCATTATCATCATTATCATCATCATCATCATCATCATCATCATCATCATCATCATCATCATCATCATCATCATCATCCTCATCCTCATCCTCATCCTCATCCTCATCCTCATCCTCCTCCTCATCCTCCTCATCCTCATCCTCATCCTCATCCTCATCCTCCTCATCCTCATCCTCATCGCCCCCCGCCTCACGGGAAGAGGCAGAGAAGAGCGGGGAGACGTGGTGTACGAAGAGGAGGACGAGGAGGAGGAGGAGGAGAAGGATGATAATAATGAGGAGGAGGAGAATGAGGAGGAGGAGGAGGAGGAGGAGGAGGAGGAGGATCAGGGGGAGGAGGGGGAGGAAGAGGAGGAGAAGGCGGATGAGGAGTAGGTGGTGGAGGAGGAGGCGAGAGAGACTCGGTGAGGCGCTGGCTTTCGAAGGCGAGAGAGGATCTCGGTGAGGCGCTGGCTTTGAACCCTCGGGCGCCCATCCAGAGAACGATCTCCAGGGCGCTAGAAGCTTCCATGCTAGTCGAGGATTTGCAACCGACGATTGTGAAGTGACTGAGTAACTGGGCCAGTCGATCACCGTCTCGCGCCGCTCTTGCTGCCATCTCGTGGCCTAGTCTCAGGGCTGTCCTGTCGGCGATGCCCCCTGCATGGCAGGTCTCGATGATTAAAACGTTGGTGGGCGGGTGGACGACGGAGCGGAAGGTGTGCCAAAGAGACTGCCAGTGCAAATTCAATTGCTCAGGGGCGTTGGACTCGATGTCCCACTACCTCTCCTGTCCTGCTCTTTGGTCTGAGGTGCTTGCGATTTGGCACCCCGGCATCTCCATATAGCGTTTCTTGATCGTCGCCTCGCTCCCTCATGTGCTCAGACGGAGGAGGAGAGGACTTCGGCGGTGCAGAGGGTAGTGATTGTATTCTATAGGTACGATGCGGTCAGGACTGCCCCTGCCAGAGAGTTGGACGATCTCTCGCCCTTCGCCAGCGCTGCCAGAGCGCAGCTCGTGCAGCAGATGCAAGATGTTGATGCGTAGCTATGGGACTTCGTTTCGAGCTATGTGCGAGGAGGTGGTGGAGGCGGAGGAGGAGGAGCAGAAGGAGGAGGATACGAATATTGAGGAGGAGCAGGAGGAGGAGGAGGAGGAGCAGGAGCAGGAGCAGGAGCAGGAGCAGAAGCAGGAGAAGGAAAGGGCAGGAGAAGGAAAGGGCAGGAGGAGGAGGAGGAGGACCAGTGCAGACCCACAAGGCATCAACGATGTTGGAATAAACCCTCCCTCCAAACTACCTCATCATGAGCCCCTACAATGGTTCATTTCCATTGAAGGAACTGCCTCGTTGGAAGACAACCGTTTGAAGACCCTGCAGCATGCCAAAACATTGCGCTCGGGATTTCAACGCCACGGATCAACCTGACTGTTGCGCTTTGACGATCCAGAATCATGCCAGATAGCCATTCCTTGAATTTCAACACAGCGAATCAACGTAACTGCTGCGCCCGCGTAGTCCTGAATCCTTTCAAAACACCATGTCTGGTACGTGGATGATGGGAATCCGCGAATCTCGTGCAATTATTTTAAACGAATGTGCGCCGGCGCTAAGGCGAGAGCCATATTTTGAAAACCACCCGCCCTCAACATGTGAAGCTCTTGTACATGTTCAAAACGAATGTGCGCCGCGCGAATGCGAGAGCCACATATTGAAAATACCCGCCCTCAATCCGTGCAGCTCTTGCACATTTCGAAAACGAATGTGCGCCGCGCTAAGGCGAGAACCACATTTTGAAAAGGGACCGCCCTCAATACGTGAAAGTCTTGCAATTTGTTTAAACGAGTGTGCGCCTCGCTCAGGCGAGAGCCACATTTTGAAAACCACCCGCCCTCAATCCGTGAAACATTTGCAAAGTTCGAAAACGAATGCGCGCCGCGCTAAGGCGAGAACTACATTTTGAAAAGGGACCGCCTTCAATTCGTGATTTTTGCATTTTGTTTAACGAAAGTGCGCCGCGCTCAGGCGAGAGCCACAGTTCGAAAACCATCCGCCCTCAATCCGTGAAGCTCTTGCAAATTTCGAAAAACGAATGTGCGCCGCGCTCAGGCGAGAATTACATGTTGAAAACCACCCGCCCTCCATCCGTTGCCAACTTTTAAGCTTCAGAGTCATAAGCGGTGAGGAAGTCTCAGGCGAAACGCCCGGCCCGCCCTAAAAATTGACTTCGGGGTGTGACAGGGAAGAGTTATCTATAAGGAAAAAAGGAATGGAGGAGGAGCAGGAGCAGGAGCAGGAGGAGGAGGAGTAGCACGGGGAGGGCGAGGAGGAGGATGATCAGGAAGAGCGTGGGGAAGGCAGGTTGGAAGGCCCCCTCCCTCCTTCTCTCCCTCCCCCTCTCCAAGGAGGGGGCGGAGGCAGAAGGAGAGACTCCCGGGAGGAGCTCGTGCTGCGCATCCGGCTCATCAAGGAACCTTCCGACGTGGGGCAGGACCCGGTCCCGTGGGATTTCAATGACGACAGGGAGGACAAGGACTTCAAGTTCCTGAGGCCCGACGGATGAAGGAGGAGGAAGAGGAGGAGGAGGAGGAGGGCGAGGGGGAGGGAGGCGGTGGTGGAGGAGGGGGAGGAGGGGGAGGAGGAGGAGGAGGAGGAGGAGGAGGAGGAGGCGGAGGGGTAGGGGGAGGGAGGAGGATGAGGAAGGGGAGGGATGATGACGATGATGATGATGATGATGATGATGATGATGATGATGATGATGATGATGATGATGATGATGATGATGATGATGATGACGATGACGATGACGATGACGATGGATGGTGGTGGTTGTGATGATGTTGATGATGATGTTGATGATGCTGCTGATGATGGTGATGATGATGCTGATGATTGGGATGGGGATGGGGATGGTGGTGATGATGATGCTGATGATGATGATTATCATGGAGATGATAATGATGATGATGATGATGATGATGATGATGATGATGATGATGATGATGAGATAATGATGATGATGATGATGATGATGATGATGATGATGATGATGATGATGATGATGATGATGATGATGATGATGATGATGATGATGATGATGATGATGATTGATGATGATGATGATGATGATGATGATTGATGATGATGATGATGATGATGATGATGATGATGATGATGATGATGATGATGATGATGATGATGATGATGATGATGAATGATGATGATGGCTGAGAGGATGATGATGATGATGAGGATGATGAGAGGATGAGGATGATGATGAGGATGAGGATGAGGATGAGGATGAGGATGAGGATGGATGAGGAATGAGGATGAGGATGAGGATGAGGATGAGGAGGGAGGATGGATGAGGTTGAGGATGAGGATGAGGATGAGGATGAGGAAGGAGGAGGAGGAGGAGGAGGAGGAGGAGGAGGAGCAGGAAGAGGAGGAGGGGGAGGAGGATGATGAGGAGGAGGGGTAGGAGGGGGAGGAGGGGGAGGAGGAAGAGGAGGAGGAGGAGGAGGAACTGCATCGAGGATGGAGCATCGACCGGCTCGGGCCCACCGACTCCAGGCGCGGATGAAGAGAGCGGCGGGGCACGAAGGACAGAGGGGGCATCGGCCGCTGTTGCGGTGCAGCTTGCGCCGCGGAGGAAGACGAGGCAGGGCGATCATTCCGCAGGCCATGGCGGCCCACAGGAGGCTCGCGAGCCTTGGTTCACATGCGCTACTCCAGATTTCGTAATAAAGGGAGGGGGGTCTCATTTCGGGGGGGGGTCTCTTCCAGGCTATCTTGGGGGGCCTGGGGGGTCTGGGGACGATGTTTTGGAGGGTTCTCCCACGGGGGAGGTCTGAAATGGCTTGTCTTGGAGGGTCCAGACCCCCTCCCTTTTATTACGAAATCTGGAGTAAATATGACCTCGAGGAAATCCGCTCTTGGCTACGCGCCAGGAGAGATGCATCCATGACGATGCTGCGGCGCAGCCTCCGGTGCCTCCTGTCACGTTCGCGAGGACTGCTGGCCTTTTCGGCGGCCGACGCACGGGCGGTGCACGGGCGACGAATGCGCGACGCACCCCTTGTCGCGAAGGGGTGGTGGTGGTCAGCAACGCGGGTCGCACTACTGGGCCTTAACAGCCTGTACCAAGCTCCTCCCATGAGCCCCACAGAGGCATCTCTTTGCACTGACGGATGCGCCCCCCTCTGGAAGCGGGCGCCCCGTGGGCGTGTGCCGACGGTCTCGCGACGGCGTTGGCATCAGAGCCGAAATGGGACGAAAAGGAGAGCGCGCGGGGATCATGCACAGTTTTTCTGCAAGGGTCCCAGTGAGGTAGAGCCACCAAGCTTCTCTGAGGGTTTCAGCAAGAGCACCATTTCGGAAAGGAGCTGCCTTCCATCCGCGTAGCCGCCTCGTGTTCTTACACCTGTGGCCACGATTTGCGAGGAAACCTCAAGCGTGGCGGGATACCGTTTCTGAGGATGAGCCATATTCCATCCGCGCAGCTGTTGTTGCACATGCTTACACGCATGGCCATAACGCATGGTGGTGTTTCAAGTGAGAGCCCCGCGCTGCCAAGGAATCGGATTCCATTCTTCGAGCTATAGGAAGCTTATCAGAGTTAGTGCGCAGTGCTAAAGCGAGAGCTGCATTTTGAACATCCTCCTCCCTCCACCCCATTCATTGCGGGGTAGAAGTACATTTCGGAGCCGTCACCTCCAATGTTCGGGTACATGGGTAAACATTTCACTCATTCACCCACACGCACAACACAGCAGTTGTTGGTCAGATGTCAACGGGCGCAATGACGCAAGGACTTGCATCATGCAGATCCATGGCTTGGACGGGCGAGTGATGATGATGACGGTGATGCCAGCGACGACGACGAGGATGATGATGGTGATGGCGGTGAAAATGGTGACGAGGATGACAGCAAAAAACGATGACGGAACCGGTGATGATGATGACGTTGGTGCTGGTGATGACGATGCTGATGCTGGCGTTGATGATGATGGTGGTGGTCGCGGTAATGTTGTTGACGGCGACGACGACGGTGGTGGTGACGCCAACGGTGGTGGTGATGAATATGACTGTTGTGGTTGTGATGATGATGATGATGATGATGATGATGATGATGGTGGTGGTGGTGGTGATGGTTATGGTGATGATGAGGATGGTGATAGTTGTGATGATGACGATGATGATGACAATGATGTCGTTGTCGATGATGGTGATTGTGGTGTTGACGAGGCCGACGGGGGACCGCACGTCCTGAACTCTTCGTAGATGTTGAGTTCTAGGGCAATATTTGGTTTTGCACTTTTCCCAGGTATGTCGTAGACAGCTAGGCAATTTTCCCATTCAAGAAGCCGGAGCCGCTGGCTATCCCCGGAGCTCGTTCCGGTTTCCGTTTTCCAGCGCCGTTGAGTGTTGCTTGAAAATGCAGCAGGTCCCGAGAGTTTTTTTCGAAACGCTTCCCCATACAGGAAGTTCTCCAGAAGGACATTCGGAAACTCCGTCCACAAGTTTCCAAAGTTTTCCGGCATGCCTTCGCATACCCTTTCTGGCGCCCTGCTGTCCGGGCTTGCGACGCCGCCCGTGTCTGTTTCGGCCTGGAGCTGCTTACGATACATATTGATGCATTGGTTTGTCATGCGCGTGTGGGGGCGCGCATGACAAACCAATGCCATCATGCAATTACCGTGCCATCAGGCGCCAATTTGGTAGGGATCAGGTGCCAATTTGGTGGGATCACAGGCACAGTTGGTATTTCCACGGTGCTGGTCCCTACCAATGCCTGTGATGCTGCGGCCCGCGCGCTACGGTGTGACAGATGGCGGTGCGCGGCGGTGCGTGCTGCATGGTCTCGATGCTCGCGCGCGCGCGTGGCCCGCCCGGTGTCGGTCGGCAGGCTCGAGAAGTTACGGTGTGCTGGTGGTATCGGCGAGCGGGAATCGGGAAGGAGAGAGGTGGAGTGGGGGAAACGATGCTGGACGAGGTGTAGTCGAAGGCCAGACTGTCAGATTGGATTGGGCCCCAAGGGCCAATCTGGATGATTTGGGTTCCTCGCCAGACTGGATTCGCGTTGGCTCCCTCGCCAGATTGCCCCCGTTTGCCAGATTGGGCCTGCCGGATTGGCGCCAGATTGGCTTCGACTACCCAGGAGGTGGAGTGAGAGAAAGGAAGCGATGCGGTGTGGGTGGAGTTGGCGTGGAGGAAGGGGGAGGGGACGACACGTGTTTTACATGGTGTTGTTTCTGTTCGTCTCTGGGAGGAGCATCGAAGGCAACATCCTGAAGGAGATGTCGTTGAAGGGGATACATGGCATCAAGAAAGTCTTCATGCGCGAGGACACCATCTCCCGTTACAACGAGAGCAAGGTCTGGGCAGAAGTTTTGCGCACTGTTGCGCCAATGTTGTCCTACTATTCCTCTTCCTTTTCCTCCTGATCCACTCCCCCCTCCCCTCTCTCTCCTCCCATCCTCCCCTCCTCATCCCCGTATTCAATCTTCTTGGAAAGGGCGGGGAGGTTGGTAGCAAGTCAGGGCGTAGATGTTTACTCCTCGTCTTCCTTCCTCGTCCCAATCGTCCTCTACCTCCTCCTTCTCCTCCTGGTCCTCCTCCTGCCTCTGCTTCGCCTTTGCCTTTGTCTCTCTGGAGCGGAGATCTAGGAGGAGGAGGGGATGGTGATGATGATGGTGGTGATGGTGGTGGTGGTTCTGATGGTGATGACGATGACGACGACAATGATGATGATGCTGATCACGATGAGGCTGAATATGATAATAGTGATGATGATGATGATGATGATGATGATGATGATGATGATGATGATGCAGGTGATGATGATAATGATGATGCTGATGATGATGGCGATGATGCTGATGATAATAATCAGGATGATGATGCTGATGATAATGATGATGACGATGATGATGATTGTGATGATGATTATGATGATGATGATGATGCTGATGATGATGATGGTGGTGG